TATATATATATATATATATATATATATATATGTATATAAATGCATAAGTTAAGCTTTCAAAGGTATAAAATGAGAGAGTGAGAGAGAGTGAGAGCTTTTATCTGAAGATAAGAATATATATGTACGTTCTAAGAAAGCACAAACTTTAGCTTCCATTTTGATTATCTGATGCTTGTCCTTTTTACTTTGCATTTGTTAGAAATCAAATAAATTATTCATAAATGAAAATCATCAAAATATATGATAGATATTTATTATCTATTAAATATCATACACATACATCTATAGATATTTATCTAAATGTCTGTGTTTATGTGTATACTTTTGAGATACTTTGAAAAAGAAAAAAAAAAAGGAATAAAAGTTTAGTTTTCCCTTAGCTTAGCAACCCTAAGTATTTTCCCCTAGGGATATACTTCAAACAATACTAAAACATCCATTAGACTACTAATAGATGTCTATTGACAAGTTTGTGGGTCACACCCTGGAACTAGTATATATAGTAACTTTTATTCCCGAATGAGTTTACAAAAGATCAGCTGTTTTCCCTATCTTCGATCTATCTTATTATTGTTAGAAGAAAAACGTGAAAGAAGAATTCTTGTATATGTGTTAGTATGTTGTTCTGTGTATATATATATATGTGTGTGTGTGTGTGTGTGTTTGATAAATGGAAAATGAATGTTATTCGAACGTGAAGGATCCGTTGATTCGTCTTATTTTTCTTTGATACATTTTTCATTTTACTCGACGTATACATATATATATATATATATATATATATATATATATATATTTGACCTTGAAAATATATTTATTTTTATTCTTAAAAATTAAATCAATTTTTCTGTCACTGTTTATTTGAAATTAATAAATAATATATTTTTATATTAAATTTATAATTTTTATATTTATATTTAATATATATATATTAAATTATTCATTTAATTATATAAATATAATATTTAATTTATTAAATATTTATAATAATTTATAAAATATTTTTATAATAAATTTATATTTTTATTTATATTTAATATATAATTTATTATATTATACTATTTTATTATTATATATTTAATATATTAAATTTATATTTTTATTTATATTAAATATATATTAAATATTATATTCTTATAATTCAATTTATAATTTTATTATAATATAAATATTATAATATTTATATAT